GGTGTCTGGGTCAGTGTGTTGGTGGTGTCTGGGTCAGTATGTCTGGGTCAGTGTGTTGGTGGTGTCTGGGTCAGTGGGTTGGTGGTGTCTGGGTCAGTGTGTTGGTGGTGTCTGGGTCAGTGTGTTGGTGGTGTCTGGGTCAGTGTGTTGGTGGTGTCTGGGTCAGTGTGTGTGGTGTGGGGTGTCTGGGTCAGTTGTCTGGGTCAGTGTGGTTGGTTTTTGGTGTCTGGGTCAGTATGTCTGGGTCAGTGTGTTGGTGGTGTCTGGGTCAGTGGGTTGGTGGTGGTCTGGGTCAGTGGTTGGTGGTGTCTGGGTCAGTGTGTTGGTGGTGTCTGGGTCAGTGTGTTGGTGGTGTTGGGTCAGTGTGTCTGGGTCAGTGTGTTGGTGGTGTCTGGGTCAGTGTGTTGGTGGTGTCTGGGTCAGTATGTCTGGGTCAGTGTGTTGGTGGTGTCTGGGTCAGTGTGTTGGTGGTGTCTGGGTCAGTGTTGTTGGTGGGTGTCTGGGTCAGTGTGTTGGTGGTGTCTGGGTCAGTGTGTTGTCTGGGTCAGTGTGTTGGTGGTGTTGGGTCAGTGTGTTGGTGGTGTCTGAGTCAGTGTGTTGGTGGTGTCTGGGTCAGTGTGTTGGTGGTGTCTGGGTAAAGTGTGTTGGTGGTGTCTGGGTCAGGTGTGTTGGTGGTTGTGTCGGGTCAGTGTGTTGGTGGTGTCTGGGTCAGTATGTCTGGGTCAGTGTGTTGGTGGTGTCTGGGTCAGTGTGTTGGTGGTGTCTGGGTCAGTGTGTTGGTGGTGGTCTGGGTCAGTGTGTTGGTGGTGTCTGGGTCAGTGTGTTGGTGGTGTCTGGGTCAGTGTGTTGGTGGTGTCTGGGTCAGTGTGTTGGTGGTGTCTGGGTCAGTATGTCTGGGTCAGTGTGTTGGTGGTGTCTGGGTCAGTGTGTTGGTGGTGTCTGGGTCAGTGTGTTGGTGGTGTCTGGGTCAGTGTGGTTGGTGGTCTTTGTGTGTCTGGGTCAGTGTGTTGGTGGTGGTTCGGGTCAGTGTGTTGGTGGTGTCTGGGTCAGTGTGGTTGGTGGTGTGTCTGGGTCAGTTATGTCTGGGTCAGTGTGTTGGTGGTGTTGGGTCATGTGTGGTTGGTGGTGTCTGGGTCAGTGTGTTGGTGGTGTCTGGGTCAGTGTGTTGGTGGTGTCTGGGTCAGTGTGTTGGGGTGGTCAGTGTTGCTGGGTCAGTGTGTTGGTGGTTGGTGGGGTCAGTGTGTTGGTTGGTGTCGTGTGGTAGTCTGTGTTGGTGGTGTCTGGGTCAGTGTGTTGGTGTCGGTGTTGGGGTCTCAGTGTGTTGGTGGTGTCATGGGTTCAGTGTGTTGGTTGGTGTCTGGGTCAGTGTGTTGGTGGTGTCTGGGTCAGTGTGTTGGTGGTGTCTGGGTCAGTGTGTTGGTGGTGTCTGGGTCAGTGTGTTGGTGGTGTCTGGGTCAGTGTGTTGGTGGTGTCTGGGTCAGTGTGTTGGTGGTGTCTGGGTCAGTGTGTTGGTGGTGTCTGGGTCAGTGTGTTGGTGGTGTCTGGGTCAGTGTGGTTGGTGGTTGTCTGGGTCAGTGTGTTGGTGGTGTCTGGGTCAGTGTGTTGGTGGTGTCTGGGTCAGTGTGTTGGTGGTGTCTGGGTGGCTCTAGCCTTGACCATCAAACCACAATACAGTTAGTGTTGAGGTCTGGTACAGTGGGAGTAAGGTACCTGGATTTTTTATGTATTATTATTATTATTATTATTATTTGTATTTAACCTTTATTTAACTAGGCAAGTCAGTTAAGAACAAATTCTTATTTACAATGACGACCTACTGTTTTACAGACAGACTGTCAGGTAGACTACAGCCCTCGATAGAGAGAGAGAGAGAGAGTGTGTTTAGGGTGACAGTGTGTTTAGGGTGACAGTGTGTTTAGGGTGACAGTGTGTTTAGGGTGACAGTGTGTTTAGGGTGACAGTGTGTTTAGGGTGACAGTGTAGTCTCTAATCCTGTCGGTGCCATGGGACAACATCTATTTGGGTGTTTGGGACTTAAGGCTCTCGGTCTCACACAATATTACATTGTGACTTAGATACACTGTGTACTGTGTGTTCTCATTGTGCCATCCCCTGTCACATGCACTCTCTCTTCCTCTCTTTCTGTTGATCACCTCCAATTTGTAAATGGAGTAAGAGCGGAGGGAGGAGGGAGGGGGAGGAGGGGGGGAGGGAGGGAGGGATTGAGGAGGAGGTGGAGGAGGGGGAGGGATGAGGAGGAGGGGGAGGAGGGAGGGGGAGGAGTGAGGAGGAGGGAGGGGGAGGAGGGGGAGGAGGGAGGAGGGGGAGGGAGGAAGAGGGAGGGGGAGGACTGAGGAGGAGGTGAGGGAGGGGGAGAATGAGGAGGAGGGGGAGGAGGGAGGGTGAGGAGGAGGGGGAGGAGTGAGGAGGAGGGGGAGGGAGGGGGAGGACTGAGGAGGGGGAGGGAGGACGAGGGAGGGGGAGGACTGAGGAGGAGGTGGAGGGAGGGGGAGGAATGAGGAGGGGGAGGAGGGAGGGGGAGGAGGAGGGGGAGGAGTGAGGAGGAGGGTGAGGGAGGGAGGGGGAGGCAGGTGTTTGGGAAAGCAGGTCAGTGATGTAAAGAGAGAGAGAGAGGGTTCAGAGTGGATCAGCTAGCTAATATCTGAGGAGAACAGAGAGACAGATATGTACAATATATTACTATTATTCGTTTAGTAGTAGTTAGATGTACAGTATATTATTATAATTATTCGTAGTAGTAGTAGTAGTTAATGTACAGTATATTATTATTAGTAGTAGTAGTAGTTAGATGTACAGTATATTATTATTGTTACTATTATTATTATTTGTGGTAGTAGTAGTTAGATGTACAGTATATTATTATTATTAGTAGTAGTAGTTAGATGTACAGTATATTATTATTATTCGTAGTAGTAGTAGTTAATGTACAGTATATTATTATTAGTAGTAGTAGTAGTTAGATGTACAGTACTGTATATTATTATTATTAGTAGTAGTAGTATTACAGTACTGCAGACTTACTAATCCATCACAACTCTTGACTTCTTATATTTAATTTTTTTAAAGTACAAAATGGAAAGATTGTCCCAATGTGGAGCAAACGATGACAGAAACACAGCTAACAAAAGGTATTAGCTCTGGATACAGTCCACAGCCCAGGGTTAGTGATATTACCAGACCAACAACACCTAGGGTTAGGGGTGTTACCAGACCAACAACACCTAGGGTTAGGGGTGTTACCAGACCAACAACACCCAGGGTTAGTGATACTACCAGACCAACAACACCCAGGGTTAGTGATATTACCAGACCAACAACACCTAGGGTTAGGGGTGTTACCAGACCAACAACACCTAGGGTTAGGGGTGTTACCAGACCAACAACACCTAGGGTTAGTGATATTACCAGACCAACAACACCTAGGGTTAGTGATATTACCAGACCAACAACACCCAGGGTTAGTGATATTACCAGACCAACAACACCCAGGGTTAGTGATATTACCAGACCAACAACACCTAGGGTTAGTGATATTACCAGACCAACAACACCTAGGGTTAGTGATATTACCAGACCAACAACACCCAGGGTTAGTGATATTACCAGACCAACAACACCCAGGGTTAGTGATATTACCAGACCAACAACACCTAGGGTTAGTGATATTACCAGACCAACAACACCCAGGGTTAGTGATATTACCAGACCAACAACACCTAGGGTTAGTGATATTACCAGACCAACAACACCCAGGGTTAGTGATATTACCAGACCAACAACACCTAGGGTTAGGGGTGTTACCAGACCAACAACACCCAGGGTTAGGGGTGTTACCAGACCAACAACACCTAGGGTTAGTGGTGTTACCAGACCAACAACACCTAGGGTTAGGGGTGTTACCAGACCAACAACACCTAGGGTTAGGGGTGTTACCAGACCAACAGCACTTAACATAGCCATTCTAGAAGGAAAATAGGTGGTCAGTGTGGGACAGCCAGGGTTAAGAAGATAGGATTATTAAGACTGTAGGCTTCAGTAACTAACACATAGGAGGTACATGTGATCAAACAATTCAATAATCCAGAATAATGGTACAGGTTAACACTTAAAGAAAGCTATAGACATTACCTTTCTAAGGCTGTTATAGATCCTTTACAGTAAACAACAGTTATCCAACAGATCATATATTATCAACAGATCATATATTACCAACAGAGATCCAACAGATCATATATTATCAACTGTAAGGGTTGGGGTGAGGTGTGACCCAGGTGCGGTGCAGGATAGACAGTAGGCAGTAGGCAGAGATGGTGAAACAAGGATCTTTACTGGTGGTCCCAAAACCAGGATACAAAATAACGGACTTGTCACGATAAAAGAAAGGTGGAGCAAATAAGACTCCAAAAACAGGCTGACAGCCAAAATACGAAATACTACCTAAGACTGAAACAAATAACGAAACAGGGAGAACACTTCTCAAGTACCTGTACACAGGTCTCCGATCAGACACTGAGTAGTACTGCTGGACATAGAGAAACTAGTAGAGAAAACTGAGCAAGGGAACACAGGGAAGTGAGGGCATAAATACACAGGGGAACAGGTAGACACAGGTGACACCAATAGGATGATGATTAGTCCAAGACTGTGAGTGAGGAGGTGCCTAAGGTTGTCGGAGGATGACACCTAGTGGGTCGCTCCGGAACTGCGACCCCCTCCTGTAACAATCAACAGTTATCCAACAGATCATATATCATCAACAGTTATCCAACAGATCATATATCATCAACAGTTAACAACAGATCATATATTATAAACAGTTAACAACAGATCATATATTATCAACAGTTAACAACAGAACATATATTATCAACAGATAACAACAGATCATATATTATCAACAGATAACAACAGATCATATATTATCAACAGTTAACAACAGATCATATACTATCAACAGTTATATTTCTTTCAGCCCCCTAAAAAGCGAACCCTCCGCAGTCGAAGGCATCAAAGTCGGAGTCTCCTCCCTCGAAGTCGAAGCTGTTGAAGTGTGGGGGGTTGTCTACGTCCTGACTACAGTGGTAGGACCCACCCGACCCCCCGCCCAGCTCTGAGAAGCCCCCCGCCCCCCCACTGTGGCCCAGCGGGCCCAGCTCCTGCAGGCCGGAGGTTCCGGAGGTCAGAGGGGAGGAGGGAGAGCAGGACTGGAGGTAGCCCAGAGCGGAGGAGGCTGCTGCCCCTCCCATCAGCAGACACACCGCCCTCACCGCCCGCGCATCGCTGCTGTTACCGTGGCGAAGACAGTCTGACGTACGGTGGGGAGGGGCTACTGATGCCACACTACGCACGGACCGCACTGACTGTCTGTGGCCGCCGCCTAGATACACACACACACACACATACATACATACACACACACACACACACACACACACACACACACACACACACACACACACACACACACACACACACACACACACACACACACACACACACACACAAAGAAAACAAAGAAAGACAAGATATAGTACAGTATACCAGGTGTGTGTAACCCTGACTGACCCAGGCTGTTGTCTCTGAAGGACCCGGCTCGGGAGGCCGAGGGGGTCGTGGTGTAACCCTGTTAATGCCCTGACTTACCCGAGGGGGTCGTGGTGTAACCCTGTTAAAGCCCTGACTGACCCAGGCTGTTGTCTCTGAAGGACCCGGCCCGGGAGGCCGAGGGGGTCGTGGTGTAACCCTGTTAATGCCCTGACTGACCCAGGCTGTTGTCTCTGAAGGACCCAGCTCTGGAGGCCGAGGGGGTCGTGGTGTAACCCTGTTAATGCCCTGACTGACCCGAGGGGGTCGTGGTGTAACCCTGTTAAAGCCCTGACTGACCCAGGCTGATGTCTCTGAAGGACCCGGCTCGGGAGGCCGAGGGGGTCGTGGTGTAACCCTGTTAATGCCCTGACTGACCCAGGCTGTTGTCTCTGAAGGACCCAGCTCTGGAGGCCGAGGGGGTCGTGGTGTAACCCTGTTAATGCCCTGACTGACCCGAGGGGGTCGTGGTGTAACCCTGTTAAAGCCCTGACTGACCCAGGCTGATGTCTCTGAAGGACCCGGCTCGGGAGGCCGAGGGGGTCGTGGTGTAACCCTGTTAATGCCCTGACTGACCCAGGCTGTTGTCTCTGAAGGACCCAGCTCGGGAGGCCGAGGGGGTCGTGGTGTAACCCTGTTATTGCCCTGACTGACCCAGGCTGTTGTCTCTGAAGGACCCGGCCCGGGAGGCCGAGGGGGTCGTGGTGTAACCCTGTTAATGCCCTGACTGACCCAGGCTGTTGTCTCTGAAGGACCCAGCTCTGGAGGCCGAGGGGGTCGTGGTGTAACCCTGTTAATGCCCTGACTGACCCGAGGGGGTCGTGGTGTAACCCTGTTAAAGCCCTGACTGACCCAGGCTGTTGTCTCTGAAGGACCCGGCTCGGGAGGCCGAGGGGGGTCGTGGTGGGGGTGGTGGTCGGGGTGCCAGTCGGGGTGGCGGTGGGGGTCGAGGTGTCCACTGTCACCCGTGGCGAGGTGGGGTCCCTGTCGGTGGGGGTGTCAGGTTGGGGGTTTCTGTCGGTGATATGGGCGGTGAGGCTCGGGGTCAGGCTCTGCTGTCGCTGCAGGACGAGCGTTGACATCACACCCTGGAGGAAACAGGAAGTCAACTACCGTCAGATAACTCTAACCCTGGACAGGATATAAATAACAACTGTTTTTTTAAGGGTACCTATAAGGACTTCATAACCCATACATACTGCATTCATAAGCAGTACGTAAGCATTTTCAATCGTTCTAAATTCTAATGTCAACTCATGGGGTAGTTATATGAGATAACAACAGTGAGGTACTTACCTCTCTCACCTTCCTGATCAACTTCAGCCAGAGACTGTGGAAGACACACAAAGTGTCTGTTAAGGTAATATTTACAGATCAGACCTCTAGTCTAGCCTGAAACCCTGATAAGATCCAAACAGACAATAGTTCAGATGTGTCATCTCTTCTTGGGATAACGTCAGATTAGACACTACAGCAGCCACAATCATCTGCAGCTCAGGTTAAAAATATGATAACATCTGAAGAACTGGAGCAGTTGAGTAAAGAGGGTAGAAAACCCTAGCACAAACCAACCCATGCCCCCCTACAACACATTCCATTACATCTCCACTCAGCATCTATCCTCACTGTGTTCCAGGGAGCCAGCTAGGCACTAGATCTGACTACTATCTACAGTGGGGGAAAAAAGTATTTAGTCAGCTACCAATTGTGCAAGTTCTCCCACTTAAAAAGATGAGAGAGGCCTGTAATTTTCATCATAGGTACACGTCAACTATGACAGACAAATTGAGATTTTTTTTCTCCAGAAAATCACATTGTAGGATTTTTTATGAATTTATTTGCTAATTATTTTGGAAAATAAGTATTTGGTCACCTACAAACAAGCAAGATTTCTGGCTCTCACAGACCTGTAACTTCTTCTTTAAGAGGCTCCTCTGTCCTCCACTCGTTACCTGTATTAATGGCACCTGTTTGAACTTGTTATCAGTATAAAAGACACCTGTCCACAACCTCAAACAGTCACACTCCAAACTCCACTATGGCCAAGACCAAAGAGCTGTCAAAGGACACCAGAAACAAAATTGTAGACCTGCACCAGGCTGGGAAGACTGAATCTGCAATAGGTAAGCAGCTTGGTTTGAAGAAATCAACTGTGGGAGCAATTATTAGGAAATGGAAGACATACAAGACCACTGATAATCTCCCTCGATCTGGGGCTCCACGCAAGATCTCACCCCGTGGGGTCAAAATGATCACAAGAACGGTGAGCAAAAATCCCAGAACCACACGGGGGGACCTAGTGAATGACCTGCAGAGAGCTGGGACCAAAGTAACAAAGCCTACCATCAGTAACACACTACGCCGCCAGGGACTCAAATCCTGCAGTGCCAGACGTGTCCCCCTGCTTAAGCCAGTACATGTCCAGGCCCGTCTGAAGTTTGCTAGAGTGCATTTGGATGATCCAGAAGAGGATTGGGAGAATGTCATATGGTCAGATGAAACCAAAATATAACTTTTTGGTAAAAACTCAACTCGTCGTGTTTGGAGGACAAAGAATGCTGAGTTGCATCCAAAGAACACCATACCTACTGTGAAGCATGGGGGTGGAAACATGCTTTGGGGCTGTTTTTCTGCAAAGGGACCAGGACGACTGATCCGTGTAAAGGAAAGAATGAATGGGGCCATGTATCGTGAGATTTTGAGTGAAAACCTCCTTCCATCAGCAAGGGCATTGAAGATGAAACGTGGCTGGGTCTTTCAGCATGACAATGATCCCAAACACACCGTCCGGGCAACGAAGGAGTGGCTTCGTAAGAAGCATTTCAAGGTCCTGGAGTGGCCTAGCCAGTCTCCAGATCTCAACCCCATAGAAAATCTTTGGAGGGAGTTGAAAGTCCGTGTTGTCCAGCGACAGCCCCAAAACATCACTGATCTAGAGGAGATCTGCATGGAGGAATGGGCCAAAATACCAGCAACAGTGTGTGAAAACCTTGTGAAGACTTACAGAAAACGTTTGACCTGTGTCATTGCCAACAAAGGGTATATAACAAAGTATTGAGAAACTTTTGTTATTGACCAAATACTTATTTTCCACCATAATTTGCAAATAAATTCATTAAAAATCCTACAATGTGATTTTCTGGAGAAAAAAAATCTCATTTTGTCTGTCATAGTTGACGTGCACCTATGATGAAAATTACAGGCCTCTTTCATCTTTTTAAGTGGGAGAACTTGCACAATTGCTGGCTGACTAAATACTTTTTTTCCCCACTGTAAGTAAGCATTTCAGTTAGTCTACACCTGTTGTTTACGAAGCATGTGACGAATACGGTTAGATTTTTTTATTTGATTTGACTACTACTACTGCTGCTACTACTACTACTACTACTACTACCACTACTACTACTACTACTACTACTACTACTACTACTACTACTACTACTACTACTACTACTACTACTACTACTACTACTACTACTACTACTACTACTACTACACTACTACTACTACTACTACTACTACAGTACTACTACTACTACTACTACTACTACTACTACTACTACTACTACTACCACCACTACTACTACAGTACTACTACTACTACTACTACAGTACTACTACTACTACTACTACTACTACTACTACTACTACTACTACTACCACCACTACTACTACAGTACTACCACCACTACTACTACAGTACTACTACTACTACTACTACTACAGTACTACTACAACTACTACTACTACTACTACTACTACTACTACTACTACTACTACTACCACCACTACTACTACAGTACTACCACCACTACTACTACAGTACTACTACTACTACTACTACAGTACTACTACTACCACTACTACTACTACTACTACTACTACTACTACCACCACTACTACTACAGTACTACTACTACTACTACTACCACTACTACCACTACTACTACTACTACTACTACTACAGTACTACTACTACTACTACTACTACTACTACTACTACTACTACAGTACTACTACTACTACTACCACTACTACAGTACTACTACTACTACTACCACTACTACCAATATGGCTTTACATCCTCTGCCATATTGTGGATCAAGAGTTACCGAGGTTGTTCTTTGATGGAAGCCTTTCTAACGTAACCAGTATGTACCTTAAGGTACAGTAGCTGTCTAGGCCCCTTACTTTTTTTTTTACTACCACTAGTAGTAAAGCCTGTGTGTCTATGTATGCGGATGACTCAACATTATACACGTCAGCTACTACAGCAAGTGAAATCACTGCAACACTTAACAAAGAGCTGCAGTCAGTTCTAGAATGGGTAGCAAGTAATAACCTAGTCCTATATATATCAAAAACGAAAAGCATTGTATTTTGGACAAATCATTCGCTAAACCCTAAACCTCATCTAAATCTTGTAATGAATAATGTGGCAACTGAGTAAGTTGAGGAGGCTAAACTGCTTGGTGTAACCCTAGATTGTAAACTGTCATGGTCAAAACACATTGATGCAATGGTAGCTAAGATGGGGAGAGGTATAGAGCTGCTCTGCTTTCTTAATATCACTATCAACAAAACAAGTCCTACAGGCCATACTTTTATCACACCTGGACTATTATATGGTTAAGTGCCACAAAGAAGGACACAGACAAATTCCAGTTGGCCCTGAACAGAGCAGCACGGCTGGCCCTTGTACACGGAGGGGCGATATCAATAACTTGGATGGCAATCTCTCCTGGCTCAAAGTATGAGATTATGGTATCAAAGTAGAGATTGATTGATGAGAGGTTTTGACGTGTTGAAAGCACCAAACTTTCTGTTCAAACAGCTAACACACAGCTCAGACACCCATACATACCCCACAAGACATGCCACCAGGGGTCTTTTCACAGTTCCTTATGTCCAGAACAGACTCTGGGAAAACATGCAGTACTATATAGGTGTCACGACTTCCGCCGAGGCTGCGTCCCCTCCTTGTTTGGGCAGGCTTCGGCGTTCGTCGTCACCGGAGTACTAACCACTGCCGCCCCAATCATCATCACAATTGTCTTGTCTTGTCAATCACACACACCTGGTTCTATTCCCCTAATTAGTCTGTGTATAAGTGTTCCCTCTGCCCCCTTGTCCCTGTGGGTGATTGTTTATTTGTGGAGGTTAGTGAAGCTCGGTGGAGCTCGTGTATTGTGTATTGACGGGAGTATTTTTCCTGTGTGCCTTGTATTTTCCAGTGCGCCTGTTTTGTGCCCTGGAGTGTGTTTGATGCATTTCTGCGTAAACCTGTATTTTGCAGATTAAAGCCTGTTATTCTGTGATTTACCCTCCTGCGCCTGACTCCATCATCACCACCTCATCACAATAGGGCTGTTGCGGACAGACTGTCATGAGCCATGACCTCAATAAAATTCAACGTGACCATTGAGTCATGGTAATCTCCTCTTATGCAATCTGGACATGCGTTGTAGTACCCAACTCACTAACGATTATCAGGTCCTAATGGCCTGGTACTCAGGGCTCTATTGGCCCTCTAACCATCAGGTCCTAATGGCCTGGTACTCAGGGCTCTATTGGCCCTCTAACCACTCTGACATCAATGCAAATACAATCGAAAATCACATCAAACACATATCATCAAAACAAGTATGTGCTTTTAAAACTCACGTAACTGATGATCAATTTGAAGTAAGAAGTTCAACAACAGAGTGAAACTGAGTAGAAAACATGGTCGTTGTTTGGATGACAGCACTAAGGTTTGATTCGTTCATAAATCAATGCATATTAGAGTTTAGGCCTATATATGAGCTCAAGCCCCCCAAAAACCCTGAATTAAAATAATGATTGTCTAGCCTAAATTAAACATATTAAACAAATTCAGAGTTATCCTACAATTTGTATTAGATTTTGAATAGCCTAGTAATGGGGATTTTTAAAATATTTATTTTTTAAAATAATTAATAGGCTGACACATTACCTTCAGCTATACAGAATATCTCAGCACGGGCGGGAAAAGTGGCCTCCATTCACTATTTCAGTGCGTTATTGTTGTTGACACGTCATTTTTTTTCTTGCCCCTGTTCCTGCCCATTTGATGAATGGGCCATTCTAAATCAAAACTAATTTTACATATTAGTAAAGACAAGATTAAATTGAGAATAGTCTGCTGGGTGAAAATATGATCACTTGATGAGAGAACAGCGTGTGCAGCCTGAAGTTGCCAAATAACTCAATCTAGCATATAGGAGCCATTTCAAATGATCACTTTTACGCTCAACATAGTCTTCATAATCACACTCTCGCTCTGTAATTGGAAAAATATCCTTTCTATTTTATTTAGCTAAGTTAAATTATATTCTTCTTACTATAAAATCATATAATATAAAATAAGGGCATGGGGACTTATAAGCATATCTTGTCAGCTAAATGAACAAGCCTCCAGCCTATGGCATGGAGCATAGCCAGATAACAGACAGTAGGCCAACTCATATTCTGTTCTTCTGAAATACGTTTTCTTTATATCATAATGTTTCTTTAGACCTGAATAAAATAAATAATGGATTTATTGTGATGGTGTATATTCAATTGATTTATTAGACTTTCTAAAACGTAGAGTGGATGCTGGGACATGTTTATGTTAATTATCGGTCACCTACTGTGAGACCGACAGTCTTTTGTATGACATTATCAGGCTGACACACTGTAATGACCGCAACAGTCCTAGCCATTACTACATGGAACTCACATCATGGAACTCACATCATGGAACTCACATCATGGAACTCACATCATGGAACTCAAGCGAGCAGTAAAATCAGATTTAAAAAACAGATAAAACAACACCCGGACTGTGCACTCTACAAACACACATTTAATATTGTAAATGTGTAATAATAATAATAATAATGACATCATTTCTTGATGTATTGTTTTATTAATGATGTAGGCTGTTGCTGTGTTTTGTTGTGATGTAATTGTTTTAACCCTGTTTGGACCCCTACTAAATACTACTATTACAACAACAAAAATTACTACTACATTGTAGTCATTTAGCAGACGCGCTTATCCAGAGCAACTTACAGTTAGTGTGTGCATACATTTTCCATACTGGCCCTCCGTGGGAATCGAACCCACAACCCTGGCGTTGCAAGCGCCATGCTCTACCAACTGAGCGACAGGAGGCACTACTACTACTACTACTGCTACTGCTACTGCTACTACTACTACTACTACTACTGCTACTGCTACTACTACTGCTACTACTACTACTACTACTACTACTACTACTACTGCTACTACTACTACTACTACTACTACTACTACTACTACTACTACTACTACTACTACTACTACTACTACTACTACCACTACCACTACTACTACCACCAACCTGCAGTCCTCTGGGCTGTCAGCCAGTAGTAACAGGAACTTCTCCTGGGGCAGGATGAGGGCGAAGCAGCAGTCTCTCCTCCCCCCTTGGGGCAGCCGGGGCAGGTCCAGGATCTCCCTGCCCTCTACGATGGCCTCACAGTTCCACTGCAGCGCCACCACCTGGTCAGGAGGACTCTCTGCATCGCGACACACCCTCAGACTGCCCTCTACTGTCAGCACCAGGTAGCGCTCCTTCCACTGCTTAAACAGCTTGAAACCACCTGGGGGAGGAGGGGAGGAGGGGAGGGGGGGGGGGGGGGGGGGGGTTATTGAGTGTGTTGGTGAGGTTAGAGAAGAGTGAAGGAAGAGGACCGTAAAAGGATAGTAAAGTGTTCTGTAACTCAACAGTCAACAGTAGCACTGCTGGAACAAGGGACTACAGACAGACAGTGGAGGAGGTGGGTGAATCTCATGAAACCAGTGGCAGTAGCAAATTGAGTTAGAAAAGCATGGTGCATCTGCAACAATCAACTTTCATTCTGAATACTAAGATGCCTAGTTTATGAAAGTATTTTATTTTAAATCATTTTGAGATTTTCGCCAGAATTTTGTAAATTTTCATTCCGAATGCTCATTTCCGAAATGCGTCGGATTAAATTCTAGGATCATTTTATGCAATTTTACTTTAGAAAAACCTCACTTATTTGAATAAAACACCACATTTGTTGCTGTAGTTTGTCCATAAATCATAAAAACTGTATACTAGTTGAAGTTTACATTAAACTGTAATATTTATTACATTAAAACAGTGTCTGTGGACAGGTTTCTCATTACCGTAACACCTTTTCAAGTTGCTGTGAAATCTTTAAATAACGTTTTATTCACCCATGATGCTTCATTCAGGGGAGTAGTCCTTAGATGAGCACAAGTTCCTCGCTCGCTGGAGGAAGGCAGCTTGGACAGGTTAGTCCTGCTCGCTCGCTTTTAGTTTTACATGCAGGGTTGGGTAGATTACTTTCTAGTTACTAGTTATGGTACTGGGGATCAGGGTTGGGTAGATTACTTTCTAGTTACTAGTTATGGTACTGGGGATCAGGGTTGGGTAGATTACTTTCTAGTTACTAGTTATGGTACTGGGGATCAGGGTTGGGTAGATTACTTTCTAGTTACTAGTTATGGTACTGGGGATCAGGGTTGGGTAGGCTACTAGTTAGAGTACTGGGGATCAGGCTTGGGTAGGTTACTTTCTAGTTACTAGTTATGGTACTGGGGATCAGGCTTGGGTAGGTTACTAGTTAGAGTACTGGGGATCAGGCTTGGGTAGGTTACTAGTTAGAGTACTGGGGATCAGGCTTGGGTAGGTTACTAGTTAGAGTACTGGGGATCAGGGTTGGGTAGGTTACTAGTTAGAGTACTGGGGATCAGGGTTGGGTAGGTTACTAGTTAGAGTACTGGGGATCAGGCTTGGGTAGGTTACTAGTTAGAGTACTGGAGATCAGGCTTGGGTAGGTTACTAGTTAGAGTACTGGGGATCAGGCTTGGGTAGGTTACTAGTTAGAGTACTGGGGATCAGGGTTGGGTAGGTTACTAGTTAGAGTACTGGGGATCAGGGTTGGGTAGGTTACTAGTTAGAGTACTGGGGATCAGGCTTGGGTAGGTTACTAGTTAGAGTACTGGGGATCAGGGTTGGGTAGGTTACTAGTTAGATTACTGGGGGTCAGGGTTGGGTAGATTACTAGTTAGTTGCTAGTTACGGTACTGGGTAGGTTACTTTCTAAATGAAATCAGTTTCAGTTAGTATAGCTGTAACTGATTTAGAAAGTAACCTACCCAACCCTGATCCCCAGTACTCTAACTAGTAACCTACCCAACCCTGATCCCCAGTACTCTAACTAGTAACCTACCCAACCTTGACCCCCAGTACTCTAACTAGTAACCTACCCAAGCCTGATCCCCAGTACTCTAACTAGTAACCTACCCAAGCCTGATCCCCAGTACTCTAACTAGTAACCTACCCAACCCTGATCCCCAGTACTCTAACTAGTAACCTACCCAACCCTGATCCCCAGTACTCTAACTAGTAACCTACCCAACCCTGACCCCCAGTACTCTAACTAGTAACCTACCCAACCCTGACCCCCAGTACTCTAACTAGTAACCTACCCAACCCTGACCCCCAGTACTCTAACTAGTAACCTACCCAACCCTGATCCCCAGTACTCTAACTAGTAACCTACCCAACCCTGATCCCCAGTACTCTAACTAGTAACCTACCCAACCCTGATCCCCAGTACTCTAACTAGTAACCTACCCAACCCTGACCCCCAGTACTCTAACTAGTAACCTACCCAACCCTGATCCCCAGTACTCTAACTAGTAACCTACCCACCCTGATCCCCAGTACTCTAACTAGTAACCTACCCAACCCTGATCCCCAGTACTCTAACTAGTAACCTACCCAACCCTGACCCCCAGTACTCTAACTAGTACCTACCCACCCTGATCCCCAGTACTCTAACTAGTAACCTACCCAACCCTGATCCCCAGTACTCTAACTAGTAACCTACCCAACCCTGATCCCCAGTACTCTAACTAGTAACCTACCCAAGCCTGATCCCCAGTACTCTAACTAGTAACCTACCCAACCCTGATCCCCAGTACTCTAACTAGTAACCTACCCAACCCTGATCCCCAGTACTCTAACTAGTAACCTACCCAACCCTGATCCCCAGTACTCTAACTAGTAACCTACCCAACCCTGATCCCCAGTACTCTAACTAGTAACCTACCCAAGCCTGATCCCCAGTACCGCAACTACTATAGTTAGGCTACCTGTCCAAAATTGTAATCAGTAATGTAACTTTTGCATTACCCAAACCCAGTAACAAAATCTGATTACTTTCAGTTACTTTTGGATTACTGTCCCCTTAAGAGGCATTAGAAGAAGACTAAAAGGATCCATCAAACACATTTGGTGTGTCATCATAGTGGTCTCTGATTGGTGGTCATCATTTAGTGTGTCATCATAGTGGTCTCTGATTGGTGGTCATCATTTGGTGTGTCATCATAGTGGTCTCTGACTGGTGGTCATCATTTGGTGTGTCATCATAGTGGTCTCTGATTGGTGGTCATCATAGTGGTCTCTGACTGGTGGTCATCATTTGGTGTGTCATCATAGTGGTCTCTGATTGGTGGTAATCATTTAGTGTGTCATCATAGTGGTCTCTGATTGGTGGTCATCATTTGGTGTGTCATCATAGTGGTCTCTGATTGGTGGTCATCATTTGGTGTGTCATCATAGTGGTCTCTGACTGGTGGTCAGACTCACTTAGGTGGAACAAACTTAAACTTGCACCTTTTTTCAATGCTGAATTGAATGTTTTTGAGAAATCATCTAGATTTTCAAAAGTATCTGTAATCCGATTACAATATTTTTGCTGGTAACATAACTGATTACAGTTACCGTTTTTTTTTTTTGTAATCAGACCCTGTTTACACATTTTTTAATGTTGAAAACAAAAGTGTAAAATTAGGATATTATGCCTATCACAAATTGGACGGGGAGCATAAATCACATTTCTATAGCCGCATGGATAATTTGGAACGGGGAAGTTATTTTCTGAGGTTCTGACAGCTGTCAGAAGTTCCCTGCTGGTGGGAAAGTTAGACTAATGAAAAATATGAATAAAAAATCCCTTTAGCCTGTACTTGTGTCATCCTATGAAATATCCGTTATGTTGCACAGCCTAATGTGAGCGCAGCCTCTGTACAGATGTCCTTTCTTTTCATTCGAAATCTTTCTCTCCAGCCACCATTGCTGGTTGCATAGCGATGGATATCTAGAAAGCACACTCGCCACTGGACGGTGAAGCCCTCAATGGCAAAGATCAGAGGTGCGCGCCGTTAATCATAAAAGTACAATTATTACTGTAACACGTTACTTTTGAAACGCGTTACCGCCAACACTGGTCCTAACACACTAATAGAGCTCAGTACAGTTTGATAATGTATTGGGTGACTGAATCTCTGATAGAGCTCAGTACAGTTTGATAATGTATTGGGTGACTGAATCTCTGATAGAGCTCAGTACAGTTTGATCATGTATTGGGTGACTGTTTCTCTGATAGAGCTCAGTAATGTTTGATAATGTATTGGGTGACTGAATCTCTGATAGAGCTCAGTAATGTTTGATAATGTATTGGGTTACTGAATCTCTGATAGAGCTCAGTACAGTTTGATAATGTATTGGGTGACTGAATCTCTGATAGAGCTCAGTAATGTTTGATAATGTATTGGGTTACTGAATCTCTAATAGAGCTCAGTACAGTTTTTTAATGGCATACTATGCAACACTCATTACCGAAACATGCATTCTCATCACTGAAACCTGGTTATCATTACCTTAATGCACCAATATTTAGTTTTGGCTTAATCTGATAGTGTGTCTTTTGTTAATTATCCAAATATGTGTACATAAAAATAGCATGTATACATAAGTAATTAGGACCCAAAAAACTATTCAGAAAAGTGTTTTTGTTGCGGTAATAAGATAAATTACAAAATAAATGTTTATAATTTCATTGTAAATATATTTGTTTTCAGTGTTATGTTTAACTCAGGTCTTTTCATTAGGTGATCAATGTAAAAAAAATATTAGCAATTTATCTATTTATTAATTTTTTGGACTTCATTAGTAGTTTTGGAAATTGTGGTAAAATGCATAATATCTGATCAATAAACATAACAATAATTATGAAATAGATAAATACAGATCCTAATCTTGGTGATCCAAGAGGAAGTATGGTGGGAAAAGTTAATTTTTTGTTGGTATGTTTGTTTTGTTGTTGTCAAGTGCCAGTTTCGTGAGAATCACGCAGGGAGCTAGCTATAATGTCTCTTATCAGGACCACCTGCCATCCTCTGTGTTAATAATAATAGATGGATGGAGAGAACGTATGATGGTGATGGAGAAGGAGAAGGAGGAGAATCTGCTCTATATTCTGGGATTATTAGAGTGAAACAGATGGATTATCCTGATGTGTGGAGATCATCAAGTGGATTATCCTGAGAGGTGTGGGGATCATCAAGTGGATTACCCTGAGAGATGTGGGGATCATCTGAGACACACACAGCAACATTGCATCACCCACACATCACAGCAGCATCGCATCACCCACACATCACAGCAGCATCGCATCACCCACACATAATAATTTAATATGCCATTTAGCAGACGCTTTTATCCAAAGCGACTTACAGTTATGCGTGCATACATCTTT